CAACTTCGTGAAAAATGTGCAGCTTTGGGTGACCGTCTCAGATATAAACCAACCATCTCCTAAGCAATTCGCTTGTGATAATGTTAACGGTTGGATCCACATCATGTACTTTTAAAGGCTTGGGATTCGGAACGCTTGAAGGCCTAGTAGTTTAAACATTTTAGAGTTCCCTGAAGCAAAGACTATTCATGAGAGGGTTTCTAGTGCGCAGCAGCTTTTATCTACATATAAAGGTCACCACCACTGAAATGTTTTGTTTCTCAAGGTGCAATTTTACTTCTGGGAGAAAGCCATAAACAGCGTGAGGTGATAGAAAACGTGCTTACGACTTTCGGAGTGACTATAAATTAAATTCACAAAAAATCCAAATTCAGAACTCAAGTTCCGAAGCATGGCATACATCCTGCGTTCATTTATTCCTAGGGCTATTCATCTGGTTCTCAGATTCGAATGTTAGCAAGCAAGATATGACTCAACACGAATGCACAACTTTCTGGTTTTGATGAAAGACATCTTTTTGGAGACAATTCTTATTCACAGTGACGCAACATCTGGGATAAAACAGCAAAAGAAGACCGGTTTAGTGATGAGTAGAAGGCATACAGAAGGTGGAGAAATTGGTGCAGTAAAGCCTGATTGTGACAAAAAACAATCAGGAACAAGATGTTCACACACTCAAACAGAAGTGGAATATACACATTTGAATGGAAAATAAGAATAAGGATTCATCATTGGGATGGGCTAATCCTTCAAATAAACACAGGTCTGGTGCATAACGACGAAGGGACGTTAGATTGCCATTTTGGCAAGGAAATGACAGGACACTTTCCCATCGGACGAGTTTCACATCATTTCTTAGAGCCTGGCTACTCACTTACAAAGAGCAACGATATCCCCATCCAGAAAAAACGAATATATAGCAGCAGCCCGTCTGAATGTATCCGTTTCCATTTCGGGTTGCTCCAACGATAGTTTCGCTAGCAGGGGTTGGAATAAAACCAGAATGTCTTCCATAGACCATGGTTAGGTACGCTTGTAATTTGTTGTAGATATTCAAAACTGACAAGCCTTGTTTTCTGGTTTGGTGGTGCTGATTTTTTTGCACGTAGTGGACCAAGCTTTATTTCATCGAAGCCAAGCTGTAGCCAGGCAGCCATCACTATGTTCAGTAGCGTCGGTGAGTAAATGTTTGAAGACGTAAAACGGGAAATAATCTTTGGAGTAAAGCCAGATTGGCCAGCTGAGTACGACCAAAGTCCAATAAAGGCACAAATCAACGAGAGGCGATACGACTGTGAAACTGTTAACGGAACCAAATTTTCAAGTGCTAGTTAATTTCCTGGCGTTTTCGACGGTCATTTAAGGTGTGGCAGGATCCCTCATTACTAGAATCACGAAACTGTTCACACTAAAATATTCTTCCCGAAGTTTTTGGATGGAAAATTCCAGAGAGCACCAGCATAACAGCTGAAGCAACGCAGTTGACGCTAATAGACGGTACCGAGGCCAGTTAGCCTTGCAACAACTAGAGAAATCTATGTTTACACCTAGAATTTCTCCGTATAGGCTGGAGTGCCTTTATACTGGCAGTTGAATGTCTTGAAACTTGATGGAAAATAAGTTCTGAAGTAGTGGTTATTTTTTTGCAATATATACCCGACTAATTTCGTCGACTCTGGTTCCTTCACAGTACTCTTGAGAAACTCTGCCTTCGAATGAGGACAAAAAGCCTCTGTTCGGTGGGGTTATTTCACGTGATTGCAGAGCACCGTTCGATAAACCTTGTCATGTTTTTTAGCCAAGTCATAAAGCAAACGCACCAGTCATAAAATGAGTATTGATCCGTCCGAGAATGAACTCAACAACTGAACAGATTTCGATACAACTGGGTTATTGCTATATCGTCGTACTTTTACAGCTGCGAATCTTTGGAAGGAGAGGAACTCTTGTTCCGAAGTCGAGTGTAACTACCGATGTTTAATCCTAAAAAATCGAACATCGGTGTTTGTTGATTTCAACAAAACAAAGTTCCCTTTCATATTTGGTTGACCTTGACACGTCATCTGTTTACTAAGCTCAGTTCCAGTGGATCCTGATGTTATGTTCTACTCCAGGTCTATGGACGGAGATTCCAAGATGGAATCTGCACAACGCGCACCATCGTATCTCTATATCAGATTAAGCGGAATCTATCGACCGGTAACAGTGTAAAAATTTAGCGTAAACATTCAGGTTCGCTCGTACCCTCGCGCAAGCGCGCACATACGTAGACGCGAACCGAATAGGATAACCGAATCAACAACACCAACAAACTGTCTGGCAATTATGTGCAGGGTGATATACCATGCTTGGAGCAACCTGATACTTATGTCGGCTTGGGTTACGCTGTTAAACTTGGACTGTCTACAAAGACCAATATGCACATGAATAGTAAACAAGACGAAATGGCAGCGGAAATTGCTTTTGACCGTATCGATTGCTACAAGGTCAAATATGGAATGCTACTGGCCTGACTTGAAAAAGAGCAGCTGAACACCGAAGAAACTCATTCTTCGTTTGTGCTATATCATGTATATGTTAATCGGACTACCGAGTGGCTACCCGTGGTGGGTGGAGTGTTTCGGCCTCCCTCTAGAGACAGGTGGAATGCGCACAGCCGATAAATCCAAATTAAAATGGAAGAGATGTAGAAAACTGCTCAATCTTCTAGGAAGGAACTTTCTATTTGCAGGGCCCAATGTGATGTGAAGAAGCGTAATCATCGAAGAGGGAATGCTTGAAGTCCTTTAATTCTCTACTGAATCCAAGATTGGAGAAAGCATCACTATAGTCATAAGCAAAAAAGAACTCGAAGAATCATGAGTCCAATACGTATACACCAAACCGCCGCTCCCGATCACAGGCAAATCCGCTTACCTGGAAGACATTAACAGGCACCGAAAGTCGACACAGATAAAAGCTATGTCATAGCATAAGATGTCTTCTACTGCCCTCAGCCTCAAGGTCAAGTCCACTTAGTTTATATACAAAAGTGCGTCAGGAGTAAATTGGCACGCACGGACAACCAAAGTAAAATGAATTCACGTGAACAAGACTGATTCGTTTCGAAACTCTCTGTGCACACTGTGGAGGCTGATGAGTTGTGATGCATAGGGCCTCACAAAATGAAGTTAGTTTTGGGTGACGGCCACATACCGACATACGGAACGAATCTTCCAGAGTTGTTCGGTCATTCATTTGTATGAGCGACTTTGCGTTAGAATATACTGGATCATAACTTCAACCAGCTCCTTTCAGTCCACTTTACTACGTTTTATATTCAGTCATGCGCTCCGTTATAGGACGCTGTAGTCTGTCAATTTAAACGTCTCTGCAATCGCCAAAGCTGGTAGACTACATGGGTAGCAGATAAATTTGGAAAACTGGAGTCGCTCCGTCGTTGAATCAAGCTTATTTGGGCGGGACTGCAGCCTCGCCTAAAGGCCATGTTAATTTTTTTTAGCACTGGTGTGTCGCGCGTGACAGCACTATATAGGTAGCTGTCTTTCAGCGGATGAATAATTAGATTCATTCTCTTTCAGCCTCAGGACTGTAATCGTCGGAGATATGTTGTCACCACAGATTTAAAAAAAAGTTTCAGTAGCCGTTAGTGAACAAATGTTTCTTCCACCTTCCAACGTATCTGTGATGCAAACTTCTTATCTTAAGCATTAGGATCTTGATTTAAATGCGTTTCTAGTGGATCGATGGAAGGCTAGTGAAGCGTGAATGTGAATGAGGAAAACTAAAAAACTGGAACAAAACAACGGCACATCTCAAAGTGCATCTTCAAAGTAGCACAACCGAACACGAATGAACATGGTTCAAACTACCAAGAAAGGTTTGTAAAGACAACGCCATCGTGGTACATCAGGTTCATTCCTCCCATATAGTCTACCAGCTTTCAAGCGATCGCAGTGTACAGCGTCTTCTAGCGGAGCGCACGACTGAATATACGACGTAGTAAAGTGGACTCAAACGGGCTGGTTCAAATTGTAATCCAGTATATTCAAACGCTAAGTTGCTCATACAAATGATTGACCAAACATATCTGGAAGATTCGTTCCGTGTGTCGGTATGTGACCGGCTCCCAAAAATCACTTCATTCTGTGGGGCTCTCTGCACCACAACTCATCAGCCTCCACAGTGTGCACAGACAGTTTCGAAACGAACCACTCTTGTTCACGTGAATTCATTTTACTTTTGGTTGGTCGCTCGTGCCAATTTACTTCTAATGCAGTTTTGTATTTAACCTAAGAGGGCTAACTTTGGGCCCAGAGAGAGGGAGCAAAATATTTATGTCTTTATTCTATGACAACCGAATGGATAAGGCGGACGCAGTGAATTGAGGCCGACCGGTTTCACAGATATACTTAGAAGGGAATAAGTACTGGTTCAGGGGTTCTCCCGCAGAGGTGAATCAAGTTGCGATCAGTGGTTGTAATTCATACGTTGAAGCTGGTTGAGAGTAAGCGAAAAGATACGTGTAGACCGTAATCCAATGCTTCAGCGAGTAACAATCCGACCCCCTAATCACAGTACACTAGCCAACAATTGGCAAGTAGTGATTGCAGTTGCTGCAATAGTGATTGGTATGTGGGTGTAAATTCTGCCCTTATTTAGACTGATTTACTGACTGCTAACACCTGCAAACTACTATGACGAAAAACAGGTTCGCCGTCCTCTCAGTTCCTCTTCGGCATAAACATATGGTAGAGCTACATAAGGATTTTTTCTTGTTGTAGAGGACTCCGGCATCTCCCAGAGACAATCATCCGAGATAAGAGTCAAAGCGAAATTTCCGAAACACACATTCAAATCGCCAGTTACTCACGTTCGATTTACAGCGATGCCAGACACAAAAAGCACTTTGGTTTGGCTACGGTACCCAAATTCGATGGGCAATTAAAATCTAACAGGAACATCGCAGCAAAAGCGTTTGTTTGATTCTCTCCTTACAGCCCCACAGATTCTGATCAACTGAAGACTGAGAGGACTAAATCTCCACCAGTATCGGCGGGGTTTTCCGTAGTGGGACGGTTGAATGATTTAGCACGCGGTCGGACCAATCAACTCGGATGGCTGCACACCTTCGTGTGTGTCCGGAACGCAAGATCATGCATGGAAATGCACTTTCCTACTGCCTGTACAAGTTTGTGCCGGGTGCTGTACAAGCAACGCAAGGCACACATTGAAAGCTGTCATCTAAGTAAATGGTTATGGTGATAATAAAGGCCTGTTCGAGACAAGTCATGTTTGGAATTCGGGCTGCTGACAATCCAACACTACTTAGGGGAGTTTATGGGATTTCAAGTGCCATCAGTTTTGCCTGAAATAGCCCTTAAGTTTCAACAAATGCACTCATTTGCATGCTAATCTAATTTTAACCGGAGATTCACACAGATTCAAGCAGAATCTCTCACATTTGTTATTCTTTAAATGAATGTGCTGCACAAGGATCGCCTCATATTTCAGTTGGTACGATATTTGAGATATCATAGTATATTTTCATGGGTATTTTTATGTTTCTGAAAACTCTACCGCAGTCATCAACCGGTTTGGCCCCTCTTAAGAGCTTATCAAATGGGAACAACTCCTAAGGTTTCAGTAATCTCGTGTCCAACTTGACCCCATTTGTACGGAGATTACGAAATACACTGATTTACATGCCTGTTTGGTTTGTACGAGCGACTCAGATGAATTCCAACTGAATCATTCATTTACAAAATTCCTCAGCTGAATGTGCTTCACGGAGATCACATCCTTCTTCGGTTGGGACGATATTCGGGACACCGCGGTATACTTTCTTGTTGGAACACCACTCGGAGTGTCGTCAGGAACCTTCTGAGTAGTGTCACATTCATCAACGTATTTTCTTTGGTTGAGACAGAATAATGGATGTCTTTAGCTAATACTGATGTGCGAAAACAAACAAAAGAGAGAAGTTTGCATTGTAGACTCAATTTATAATTATGGTTACCGGAGTCTTATTCAGGAGCTCGTGTAAATTTTCAGTTGCTGAACCCGAAAACCCAACTTGGTCTTCGGTTTCCAGAAGCGCACTGGTGACCCCTCCCTTAAGCTGCAGCACACAACGTTTCCTAAGATTCTTTTGCGAGAGTATTCAGTAGAGTCTACTATTCACTATGAGTAGTGTCCAACTAGTTCCAAAAATCCTCAAGTAAACTGCTACAAGTTTCGCTATTTCAGGAGCTCTACAACTAACGCGTTATACATTCTAGCGCATTATTTTAATAGAAATTCGCCTGGAAACTGATAAGATTCTATATATGTCAGAGTGTTTGAAATTCGATTCCTCCTCCTCAGCATCATGACGCACAATATCCCAATATCCCAGGCAACAAGAAATTCGTCAAGAAAAAACTGGTGATTTTGCCTTTCGTATACTGAGCTTAAATAAAACAAACTGAGGAATTGGGATGAACTGCAACATACAATCCCTCAAAACGTTCTATGGTCGGAATAACTCCCTACTCGATTCACGACGTCTATCTACAGAGAATGCGTTAACGCTGATAGGTTAGCAAAACTAGCACCACCACGACATGATGTTAGCTGATAATTTCTAAAACACCATTGGCAAGGAACTGGATTCGATTCAGAATTTATTCGTGGTAAGTAGTTTCCGAATTCCTGGAATTTGTATTCACGTCAGATTTATTTGGACAGTCCGCCACAGCTCGCAACAAAGCTCGCAAGTGCAAGACTTGAAATTCGATCCCACTAAACTCCATCAACAGAAAGTGTCCTTGGCCTAGCATGTGGGGCCCGTATGTTGCCAGATAGCTTGCTTCAGATAACTCACGCTGTAAAAATAAAAAAAGTTCAGGTACCATTTGCGTGCGATGTTGTCCGCGCATCGGTTTCCTAGATTCAAAATCCATCACACACAGAGAGGTTCACTGTCAGCGAACTATAATGACGGTGAAATCCAAATATAATAATAGGGAGCTTTTGTTGTAAACTAACCAGAACACCTTCAAGAAGATGTGAATACAAATTCCCCTCCCCCTCCCCCTCCTTACGTGTCTGAGAAATATCCATTGGAATTCAACGGAATATATAATTTTGGAGAGTAATTCAGCAGGTCCAGTCGGCTTTCAAAATGTGAGTTCAATAAATGGCTAACGCATTGTGCATGGAATTTCCAAGATAACTTTATTCTAAATATGAGACCAGCTACGTAAATGGTCTATCGCAAATAAACATCATTCTGATTTATTTTACTACTGGTTGGTGTACAGAAAACCTTCCAAACCGAAAACACTTCTGCCTTTGAAGCAAAGTTTGACGTTCTCACCGCGGGATTCTACTATTCTAATGTGCTACATGACGGATTCACTTTGTGTTTCATCAGTGCCCCTTCGGGAAGACGAATGAGGGCCAGTAACTAAAGACAATTGGGATAACTCACATTCGCGAAAACTGTAATGCTCGTAAGTCTTTGAAGGAAGGAATGTCGTGGGACCGAATTAATGGACCAAACTACTTGAGGCCACAATAAAACGGCTCTGGTGGATTTGTAGTTAGAGTACGGATCATCAGTGGTCTCGCATAAAGTGTCATGTTCCCTTAAGTAATTGTAATGATAGTCAAGTGGAAGTTGCCTGATTGGCGTTTTTTAGTCTCCTGGCCGACTATTTTAGGATGCAACAGACGCAAACTGACTATTCTACAGTAGTGTGCTTGGTTTCTTCAAACAAAGTATTTAAGTGCGGAACCCATCAAGCCCCGGGAATCATCCCATACACACTATAAGTCTAAAAACTCCAAATCTTTCTTAAAATCCGGACGTCCCATTGACCTGGCAAAACTAAACATTTACACTCTGGAAAAGCTTCAAAGCAGGCGGATTTTTAAGTGCGCTTGATGCTCCTTTAATTATTGTGTACCATTTCCCAAAAGAGGGATTCAGGACCATCGTATACTGTTATTGCTTGAAAGTTCACACCTACGCGCCAACGATTTACTGCTCGTTGTTTAAAAGAAAAAGGTCACACTCTGAATGTAATCCACTCTCAGTTGGAGCCCCCTCTATAGGTCCCTCATCAGGGAATGTTTTTGGATGGTCTTGTGGTGAACAGCGAATGATATGCAGCTTAAGAGTAAAAATGTCGTTAAAAAACATCCTACTTGCGCAAACGTAAGTAGTGAATAAACGGCAATCCTACAGTCAAGGCAAAGCTAAGTAAACTCTTGTTTTTTACAAAATATCAAGTAATGTTTTAGATCATTAGTAGAGCAGCATAAGCGACCAGATGCTTATTAATCCAATAAGCGACGAGAAGTTATGCTGTATGTGTACTAAAATGAATCAAATCTTGCGACCTGCTTTAAAGCCTCGATAGGAGAACCCTGGCGTTAGATAAATCTACGAAGTAATTAAAAACCTAACACAACCTTATTAATATTCTACTACCTAAAACTTCTGGAAAGCTCCATAAATGTAATTTGATTAGTTTCAAGCTTCCACTGACAACATACTGTAGAACACACCTTGAATCAGTTGCCATTCCACCAAAGAAATTGATTGGGGCAACTCTGTGGTGTAAGTTTTGCGATAGAACATCGTAGTAGAGTAATTACTTAGAAGCCGGTGAGGACTAAGTGGTTGAAACGGCGAGAAATAGACGACACCGCTGTCTATGAACTCTCAAACGAGCAGCGCTATTGGCGATCTGACTGAAAATATCCCACTGACAAATATAAATTGCTATTATCCTAGATTTAATCTCTTGTAACACATTGATTACGGCGGCTAGGCAGTCATGATGAGTAGGTGGCGGTCAAAAAAATTAACATAAGTTGCTGAGTCTAAATGCACTTTGGTTTATATGGTAGATGTTTGGAGTTTTACTTAACAACGCCAAAGTGAAGAGGGTAGTGCTGGTGAAGCTCGAAAACAAGTTGGATAGGTGAAAGAAGAGGTCTTTAGTAAATTGCTGTAAAATGTAATTAATTACATAGGCATTGTTGTGGGCTGGATTCACCTCGTACAACCTCATCTGCCGCAGTACGTGTAAGACCAAATATAATGAAAAAACTTACAGGGCTGGTGGAACTGTTACGCGAGTAATCGGTTAATCCCCGTCAGTTTCGGAGAAACGCTCCAGTCTTCTTGGGAACATGGTACAAGCGCAAATCAATTAGACGGTATTGTTTCAATGAAATTCAGTCTATATGGTCGAATACCACGTTCTATGACCTCGAACGTGGAAATAAATTTAACTGACTTTTCTTGAGTCGATTGCTAGACCACCCAAATTTAAGTTAGGTTCAGCTAGCAGTGCACAAAGTAGTCCAGGTAGGTGCCTTTTGGCTCGCGTCTGCATACTTCCGTTAGATTAACCAATGTAAATATCACCACAACATTAAATGAGCTGATAAACACAGTGACTGTTTGATAAACCTGATAAAGCGGTTTCTATCGGCGTTCTCAAAGTGCCAGTTGAGACGTGGAGGCTAACCAGGGCACAAAGCTTTTTTAACAGACAACTTCAGACGCAAAACGTAATTCAAATTTTTCAAATTCTACAAAATGAACAATATAATAAATGATTAAAAATGCTGTCAGATCCGGCAGACCCCAGGTTATCCCCAGGGGTTAACAAAATAATAGAATAACAAGAGTAGAATTATTATAATAGTAGTCGTATTAACACAAATGAATAGTAGAACATATTCAGAATCTATTTAGACGATCCTGTGAGAAACAGCACTCTTCAACTTTTTTTTAAGAATTTCTGAGATTTCTTCTCACATAGGTTATTTAGTTAGAATTTCCGAACAAATTATTGTTCTTCGAGCATTAGATCTGAGTCATTTTTAAATTCATGTGCTAGTTTTCAACTCAACTTTGGAATAACTATGAATTCTGACGCGATTGTTGATCTTTCTCTGTCATACATCCTGTAGTGAGACTAGTCGGACTGAATGATGTAGCGATGGCTGTGAACATGAAATGGCTTATTTTAGGCTCCTACAGGAGCCTCAATAATCGGTTTACGTCGTGGTTGTGCTTTAAGCAATGTTTTGTAAAACGAAGCCTGAAGTGCACAAAATCGCGAACGGGTTAGGATCGCGAACTAAGGTATAAAAACGTGTAACAGTTAAAATAGACTGAAATAGTTTTGTAATCAAAGCTTCGCTAGCAAATCGGATGCCTTGAGTGATTTTGAACAATTTAAC